GCTGAGCAACGCGGTCGAAGCAAACTATCTTTTCCGTCAAAAATCCATAACTCTGCAGGATGTTCACATCAACCAATCAGAAAACATGAATCTTGCCAATGCTCCCCTCCATCTCCCCATGTCCCTCAACGATTTTATTTCTCCCTCCGACCACGCAGACACACACAGACACACACACACACACACACACACACACACACACACACACATACACACCCTGCCGAGCAAGAGACACAGGGTTGGCAGACGAGTGGCGCTGTCATTTGTCAGCTACATCCCAGAGGTAAGATAAGGGATAGGCCGCAAGTGTGCAGTGTATCTGTGTGTGTGTGTGTGTGTGTGTGTGTGTGTGTGTGTGTGTGTGTGTGTGTGTGTGTGTGTGTGTGTGTGTGTGTGTGTGTGTGTGTGTGTNTGTGTGTGTGTGTGTGTGTGTGTGTGTATGTGTATGTGTGTGTGCATCAGCTAAATTGGGCATAGCAGGGATTTTGTATAGAATGACTGAACAACAAAATTTAGTTTGACGCTTCCCGGCTTGAACTTGTGGATGTTTGGAAGAAGAAGGAGGCTGAGTGAGGGATATGAAGCAGGGAAGGGAAGAAGGGAGCGACGAGAAAACAAAGAAGATAAGAGTTAAGGAAATATTGCAGGAGACGCTGAGATACAGTGTGAGCAGAATTCTCAGTCCGACTACATTTAAATACATTCTTCCTGCTTGTTTTAATCAGACTCTGTGTGGCTATTGAAACGAGCCCAGTCTGGCTCATGTGTTTGAATACGTTATCTCACAGTCTGAGGTATGTTTATTCAAAGACGTTTAAAATAAGAGCTAACCTTAGGTAGTCCTGCGTAATACACCACTGCCATCCTGTGGTGAGACGATGTCATTTCTTCCAATGGCTCTACATGGTCCCTCGAAATAAAAATAAATCTCAGTAATCATAATTAAAAAGGATTTGATTCGATTTTTTAATTTGGAACTTAAAACTTTTCTAATTCCTCAATCCACACATTCCTATAGATATAGATATACACACACAAGCCACAGGCCCCTGTTACCATAATATCATCCATTACACTGTGATCTCCACTAATAGACCACTCCAGAGGCAGGCTAATTCAAGAGACTGATTAGCATAAGTGAGCTATGGCATTCATTAGTCCTGGGAGGGATTCATAACGCTGAAGTAAATGGATGAGATCTTCATATACTGTCCAATAGAAGCACTGAAGTCCTTCATAGTGTATGTTCTCTCCACTGATGCTCATACACACACATAAACACACTGCGACACAGTGGCTAGATGCATTCTGGGGTAATCTAAGGCAATGGAGGGAAATATTGCATTCAGTACTAAATGGAGAGAAAATGAGAACAGTTTAATGTAACGGAGATAAAACTCTCCTCTATGGACAGACAGAGTTTGGGGCTGTGTCTCTGCCACTGTGGGGGTTTATTTGAGTAAAATGAGTTTTATTTTTCATAAACTTTGACATGAGGACATTTCATCTGAGGAAAGGGAAGAATGTAAGAGGAGATTTTATTTTTCTCAGTGTTGTGTTTGAGAATGTACTTCATCTCATTAATAGTTATAGTATACAGTATACATGTTGTACTGCTGCTATATCTAGATGTGGAACTACATAATGTGACACACCTCACATGCGTGTGATATAAGTGATGTTTAACACTGGCGGAGTGACATGATGTAAGATGTGATGTGGCGCTTTGTTGTGGATTGGGACATGAAACGTATGTGGAGGTACAAACATGAGACTGTTCCCCTTAGAGTTATACAAAACCCTGCCTGACATTTCTTCGACTCAAGGTAAAAATAAATGGAAAAAAAACTTTGGTAAACATGTAAGTAGATATTGTATAGACATAGTATTACTCCCCATGACTATTTAACTCAGGGGTCTCAAACTTGCGGCCCGCGGGCCAATTGCGGCCCACTGGACGATATTTTGTGGCCCCCTACTTGACAAATCAAAGTTTAGTGTTAGTGCGGCCCGCGCGTTTCTCTCAAACGCACCTTTTTGTCGAGTCGTTGCGCAGGCCGTGCTTGCCCTGACAGCTTCCAGTGGCGTTTGTTGTCAAGTTAGCCAAAGTGAATTAGCAGCGTTAGTCACTTGATTGAAACGTGATTCCGTTCTGAAGAACCGTTCATGTTGAAGAACTGTTCATCATAAAGATTGAGAAGATTGGATAAGTTGTACGTTTTGGAATACCTGAAACCCTTTTTTTGTTACACCCAGACTCCACCTCCAGCGGCCCCCAGGTAAATTGAGTTTGAGACCCCTGATTTAACTAATCTCGTGGTCTAGAAGTGCTTCCCCGGTAACAATAACAATGTGATATTATCAGATCCTCTTTCACGTCAGAGAAGCTGCAGGCAGGACAAAGTTGGCACGTGACGTGGCTACGCTTCAGGCTGGATGGGAAGGTGCAGTCTGGCCTTCTCTGGTGTTTTGGGTTGGGCTGCTGGAGAGTTAAAGACCATAAAATTAGTTTGGAGCAATAAATTGTTTCGACCAGCTGAGGGGTTTTTGCCTGGACAATCAATTTTTGGATGAAGTTGCTAGGCACGCTATGCTGCTGTGGCCTTCCTGAGTCAGTGTAATGCTGAGTGGGATGCAGGGTGTGTGTGTGTGTGTGTGTGTGTGTGTGTAAGTATATTGACACTGGGGTGTCTGGTTGAGTAATGGGGGTGTAGCAGAGTTTAGATGGCTTCTATCCTCCTTCCTATCCAGTGCAGGAGAAGGTCATCACTCATACAGACAGAGAGGGAGAGAGAGGGAAGGGAGCGAGCGACGGTGCTCCACCAGGCAGAGAGAGAGAGAGAGAGCGTGTGCGTGTGTGCACAAGCGAGATCGAGAGCATGAATGATGAGAACAGAGCGATGGTACTAAGAAGGAGAAAGACTGATAATGCGAAACAACGCGTCAGACAGAGGGAGGTGGAAAATGTGTGTGTACTCAAACATGCAAGAAATCTCTCTCATAGGAAACTACAACTATAAAAAGTCTTGTATGTGTGGAATGTTGTCAGCCACTGTGTCAGCCAACTGCACAGCTCTACAGCCTCATGATAGCAACAACACATCTCTGCATGAAAGCCAATCTCAGTCATCTGGGCAGATAGAGCACATTCAGTGAGCCTTCAGATTCTTTATCCACACAATATGTTGCAGACAGATGATTTTTCCCCGTCAATCTCTTTCAACCACTGCAGTTTTTCCAGACTCATATGAGGTCACTGTGACCTTTGACCTTTGATCACCCGGATCTAATCAGTTGATTTATGAATCTAAGTGACCGTTTAAAGTGATCCCTTAGGCTAAAAACACGGTGAGTCGAATTTAAGGGTCGTGGCTTACGGACACTTGGATGACACCACAGGAGCAGTATGGAGGGATTTTATGTTTTGTAGATTCAAACACATTACCCAATGAGTCAATTTTCATTTTTCAGTGAACTATCCCTTTAAGGTTGTGGTCGCTGCAAAAGGTGCTTCCACTAAGCTCAGAGTAAAGTGAACTTTACTCTGTAAAGCTCAGAGTAAAGTGTGTGAATTATGTCAATGCAATAATTGTAAAAAATTCTAAATGTATGTTTTCACTTTGTCATCATGGAGTATTGAGTGTAGAGTGATGAGTGATGAGAGAAATAAAATGTTTTAAAGGATTTTGGTGCGAGGCTGAATGTCCTTCTTTATTTCTGCCTGAATCCAGGTTTTGGTAGAGCTTGGTGGACAGACAATTTTAGACTCTTTTGGCTTCTAATCCTCATCTTGGATTTGCGCCCTTTCCTGTTGTGTACTTTACTGAATAAATGAGCCAGAGAAAGACACCGACAGTCAGAGATTCTCTGGTAAACAGCTCTGCTTTCATGTAGTTTTTAGTCAGAAACTCAAACCTGGAAGACGAGTGATAAACCAACAGCTACAGGCTCTGCAGCTTGTTGGGTTTGGTGGATGATGTATTGGCTCCCTGGGCTCTTCTATACTAAGGATCCTGGAGCTGCTCCACAGACAGAATCATCTAATGACTGCTTAGAGACTGACTGAGGCTGATTTCACTGGGGTATGAGAACATTTACTGTTTAACTGGAACTCTTTGGCTGGAAGCTCCTGGTACTGGACTCAAGTTAATGAATTAGATGAAAGGAGTGTACAGGCCTGCTAGCAGCATGTTGCCTCCCATGTTTAGCGTCTTAAGTTGTATGTGTGTGTGCACTGTGACATTTGCTAGTTAAAGCTGAATGTTTAAAAAGAAAAATGGTGATCCTTTTGCAGCATATCCAGGTTACAATACATCTGACTGTAGTTCAACTAGTATGGCACTGACACTGAGAGCAGACCTCTGCCAACGCCCAACAGGGTCCTGATGGAACCACATTTAAATGGATCGATTTTTATTTGGAGCTGCACTAAATCATATTTTCTTTCAAAAATCATTCTCTGACAAATCAACAGAAAATGCTGAAGAATGCAATTTGTCAAGGAATGTGAAAAAGATTCCTGGAACGGTTCTGCACAAAATTTTTAGTTTCGTGGTAATTTGTCCAGCAGTTTTTGCATAATCCTGCTGAACAAAATACAAGCCATGACGAAAACACAATATCCTTAGAGCTTTTTTATTTGAATTCACTCTTGCTCTCATGTCACCTTTGATGCAGCAGCAGAAGAGTCAGCATCAAAACCCGAGTCCTGTGTTTGCCACCACAGTCAGTTCAGCGAACTCTCCTCTGCTTCTTTACCAGCTGAAAACTACAGTGGGTGGCAAATAAACCCAGAAATCTATTTTTGTTCCTTAATAAGTTCAAATCCATACATGTGTCTGTGGTTAAGTTAAATTGTGTCGTTTAGAAAAGGTCACTTATGTAAGCAGGATTATGTCACCTCATAGGCAGATTGGCTGGTTCCTTCACTTGCTTTGAAAGCACAGATTTTCAGATTTAAGATTGACAAATGATGGAAAATACAATTAATAATTAAAATAATTTATTCAACAATTCAGTCATTAGCCAAACAGTTGCCCATATAAACATGTATGTTCTCACTGATGTAAACAATCATTTTTTAAAAAGTACATTTTGCAGAGATTTAAACTGACACATCCATCCGTCATATAATCCATGAGGTAAAAGCATCTAACACTTTAAAGACAGTGGAGTCACTGTCACTACAGACCTTCCAAAGTACAAGGAACCTCAGAGGTTTGAGAAACAAAGACCTATGTTGCCAACCGCTCCCTCCTCGATGGACGGTCCAAACATTTCAGAGTGTCCGATGTCCCTGGTCGCATCCAGGGATCTGTGGCGACAGTTTCTATGGAGCACTGATGGTTAAGATTGCGAGAGAATGGAGGAGGGGAGGAGTCATCATCAGACAGACCCACTGGTCCTGAAGAACAGAAGCAGGGAGACAGAGTCAAACACTTGAAGTATGAGTACACATTGCACCAAAATCAATCCTTGAATGTTTGTGCCACATGTGAAAGGACTCCTTGATGGCGTTACAGAGATATCACTTTGACAGGGCAAAACATGGGCTTTGTGAGGTCACCATGACCCTGACCTTTGAGCACCAAAATCGACTCAGTTCATCCGAGAGTACAAGTGAATATTTGTACAAAACTTTAGAAAACTCCATTAAGGCATTCTTGAGATATCGCATTCACAGGAATGAGACGGACAACACGAAAACATTATGTCTCCAGACACTGTTTGTCACCGGCACGGAGACATAAAAATCTCATGACAGCAATTCATTTATTCTGCTATAATAGAAAATCACTACCATCAGATGCTTTTTGGTGACAAATACAGGGCTAAATATTTGCTGCATAAATATTTCAGCAAATATTATTCAACTTCAATCTGATCATTTGAAAGCTGGCTGAATATAATGACCTCTTGGCTTTGGGAATTACAGCTCTAGTTAAGAATTTCAATTCAGACCTCTAAAAAATGAATCCACTACTTTCCTGAAAGATTACCTTTAATTCATCTTCTTGTGGCAAAGCTGAAATTATTACACAAAACACGATGACTAGCAGAAGATGAATATATCAAGGCTCACCGGCTGTGTTACCACGACGACGGAGAGATGTCAAATGTCCTTTACTGTTTGGACTCCCGCTGTGCTCCACCTCCTGTCGCAGCCTTATACCTGTGTGAGTGGAGTAGTCGTCATATTGGCCAATACACTGGCTGGAAGCAGCTCGTTCCTGGACCAACCACAGGACACCAACATCAGACATCGTGATAATAATGGTAGGTGTGGAGTTTACAGGCTACACCACAACACACGTCAGAAACCTGTGAGGTGTGTGTTTTGCGTGAAGCAGAGTAGTACCTGAGGATGCTGTGACTGTTTGGCCAGCCTCCTCCTCTCCCTGGCCGATAGATGGGAGGTTCTCTGGAAGTCTGGGTACCGGGGAACTGGAAGGGCATCACCAAGGGGCTCTACACACACACACACAAAAGAAAAAATGTGTCGTGGACATCTCAAACCAAATTTCGAGGATATGCTACACTACACATCCCACTTGGTTCCATTCTTTTGCATTTACATCATCCAGGTCTGGTTTTCCACAGAATTGATTAAATCTTTGTCTGTAACAGAGGTGCACGTGAATGCACATAAAGGTCACTCTAACATGCAACAGAATGCGAGTGACAGGTACACAGTTTAAGAGTGACAGAGAGGTTCTCACGTGAGCGAGGGATCTGCATTGCATGCCACAACTGCAGCTAAAACTAAGTTCTGATTGTCCACATGGATGTTAAAAACATAATGGTGTGAGGGGACAAATATGGCTGCCACAGTCTCGATGATAAATGTGAAACACTTCAGGTGATTTCAGATTCTAAAACCACTTTTTAAAGTGACATTTTCTGTCAACATA